TATATATAAATAATAAATAAAACGATATTAATAAATAAAAATATTGAGAATTTTATAGAAGACTTATTAATATAATATAATATAAAAAAAGACTTTCTATATAAAAGATAACTTAAAGTTTTAATTTTTAATATTATTACATTTAATATTGATTATTAATAAATAATGCATTTTAAAAAACTAAATCGTGATTGTTGAAATTGAAAAATAGTGAAAAAAGAATTTAATTATTAACTAAAATAAAATTTACCTTCTAGAGATGAAATTTATCTCAGTGATTGTTTTCGTCGCTATTTTGGGTATAGTGATATGCAGCCAGGATTTCAGCGGTCACACAATCTTTAAGAGAACCGCGAATACAAATTCCGGTAAGAATAATGCCAAAGAATTCAATGATCATTCACTTCTTTTTTAAGCGCAACCAAGGAAAAAAGAACTGGTACACTTGTTATGATTAGAGCCCGGATTAAAGTCCTGAGATCGCTTTAACCGTAGCTAGCTCTTCCTACTACACCTCATCCCCGACCTCATCACCACGACTTCGGGCGAGTAGCAGTGGGGAGAATCATGAGGAAGAGGAACGCATTATAGTTAACTGGAATCGCTACGTCGGTCAGCGGACAATCCGGGCTCTAATCATGATATTAAATATAAAGTTAATCATGAATTGTTTGAAATTCATTAATTAATCAATCACGCTTGATAGTTTAATAAGCTATTGCATGTCACAAATGTATATTGAAATTTTAAATGTCAAAAATGTTGGGATAATGTATAGCCAACATCATCGTATCAATTTAACATTAAACGTGTAAAATTATTATTCCTAACTCGTCATACAATTAATCAATCATCTTATCGCGATATTTGAATGTTACATAAGACACTTCAAGTTCAACACCGAGATTGGTTTTAATACTCGCTTATTCTAACTGACAATATAAATCATTGTTTGTCATAAAGTATTAATAATTAAGTTAATTCTTCATTAACTCTTAAAGCTGTACTCTTAAGTTACTTTCTTTTGCTATTTTTTAAGCTGTTATTTTTAAATAAAATTATAAAACAGTTATATGTAAAAATGATCGAAGTTTACGTGAAGATATTATTGTCAGCTTTATATATATAATAAAAAGTAAGTATCTTTTTTGCGATTTTTTATTTCAATTGTTTATCAATTCTATTTCATCATTTATTAATTTATGTAATATTTTAATTTGTATATTATAAATAGTAAGTAAAATATTTTTGAGTAGAAAAAGTTACTATTTAAGTGATATAATGTTTACGAAATAACTACAATATACAGTATTTGCGATACTTTTCATTAATCCATATGTTTATGAAGATCATTAAAATAAAGTTTTTCGACAAATAAAATATTCGTATTTTTACAGTTCGCTCCCAATCGAATTCCAGTACGTACGTGCCGATCTTTAATACGCCACAAAAATCACTCGAAAAATCTCAAACCTTCCAAACAAGAATAAACTCTCAACAGAATGACATATCGAACTATCGTGTGGAGCCGCCGTCACGACTTTATACTCCGCCGAAGATCAGTTACTCGGATTGCGAGCAACTTTCCTCTAAGGTCTATTCTACCCCAAGTAGCCAACAGTATTCCTCAATGTGTATACCGCAAAGTTTTAGAAGCTCCACATCCTATAACCATCAATTGAAACAACAATCGTCGACTTTGTCGCCTCTGAATATCCTGAAATCGTCGTTCACTCACTTATCGCCACAACCTCCGCTTTTCTCATCGAAAAGTGTAAGGCCACTTCGTGCCGTCTCCAAATCTGGCAAAGCTTTGGGTGAAGCAGGCGAAGTCAATGGAATCGCTAATTTATCTCAAAGACAGTCTAAAAGTAGTACTGAGACAGCAACTGGTAATAGTATCGGCATTTCAGGGAATTATGCTGGAGGGGTTGTAAGTATTGTATTAAATATATACATATAATGCTGCGCTTAATCTCGAATATGCCATACAATCCATGTAATATAATCAATTACATTATCATATGTAGAAATTGATGATAGAAACGTATGAGAATGCGCTAGGAGCTTCATCAGCGTCAACACGTTCTTCAAGAAATTTCTCTAAAAAAGAAAGAGCCTTACGAGATTCAGAATTTTCAAGATCTTCAGAAAGACTTTCACAATTCTCAGGACCATCTGAATCATCAGGACTCTCAGAATTCTCGAAACCCTCAAGATCTTTAAGAGTCTCAGGATCCGCAGGAATTCCTGAAACCGAAAGTATTTCAAGTATTGGTTTCTTACTTATAATCAAAACGTATAGTTATAGATACGAAAAAAATTTATAATTTTATTGTCCAGAGATTACTGACGTTAAAACTATAAGATACAGCCAAGCTAGTTGGGCAATATTTTATTCAAATTATTACAAATCTTCACACACTATTATGATAGAAGACTAAGAATTGCTTTAAACGAATAATTGTAATCCATGTACATTTTTTTATAATATTTTATTTTTATTTAATATTTTGTTTTCACTATAAAATGATAAATAACAGATTTCTTTTAAGTAGAAGGCATCTATCGTACAAGTAATTGTTTTGAAAAAATAATATTGAAATACTTTACAAAACTTTTCGTTGTTGCCATCTCCCCTTATATTCACGGAAATTAAGGAATCCATTACGATAGGTACTCACTTTTAATGAGTCAATACATTTTTACAGTTCGTCAGCAATCGGATCCAAATGCGTACTTGTCGTCCTTCAGCAACCAACAACCACTCGGAAAGCATCCCTTCCAAGTCAAGAACTCTCAAAAAAGGGACGAAGAAAACTATACTATTCGACCATCAATCTACACCCCATTAAATATTAATTTCTCAACATTTGGACAACCTTTATCCATACCATATTCAACAAAATCAAATAATCAACAATCCTCAATAAATATACCTCAAAGTTTTAATGGTTCTACATTCTACAATCCCCAATCAAATCAGCTTACACAACGGATCCTTTTGCCACTAAATTGCTCGAAATCGTCATCAACTTGCATAACACCACAAACTCTGATATTCTCATTGCCTAGTCCAAAATCGTCTCAGTCGGCCTCCAAGACTGGCAAACAATTGACAAACGTTATTACAAATCCAACCGATGAAATTTCGGACACTGAAAATGTAAATCTTATTAGATTTAGCGCGGACGCTTTTGTAAATCCTGTAAGTATTGTATCAGATATGTATAATAGTGCATCAAATTGATCTTATATATGCAATATACTCAATTAAATACATTAAATTATTACATATAGAACATCCAGATTGCAACGGGTAGTCATGTCTTAGACTTTTCAAGCCAGTCTTCAGAACCTTTACAACCCTCGGGACCCTCGAACACCTCAGGATTGTCAGGATTTCCTGGATCTTCAGGACTTTCACAATTCTCAGGGTCTTCACCACCATCAGGATTCTCAGGATTTCCTGGATCTTCAGGACTTTCACAATTCTCAGGGTTTTCACCACCATCAGGATTCTCAAGACCCTCGGGACCTTCAGAATCATTAATACCCTTAGGACCCTCAGTACTCCTACAATTCTCAGGATTTCCAGAACTCTCAAAACCTTTAAATTTCCCTTTCTCAGAAGTACCCGTAGGATCACCGGAATCTTTAGGACCTTCAATCATACCCTCGAAAATTAGACCATTCATTCCTTCTACTACGCAAAATAAAGTTGGCATAAATGTACCAACTGAACAGGCAGGTCCTCGAATTCCTGAAACTAGTTCCTTAATTACTGGCACTGGAGGTATGTATCTCTTATATGTATCCATATAATATAATACATAAAATATACAAAAAGATAATTTATAATTTTATCGCCCACAGAGACTCAAACTGACGACGATTTCAATCATCCTCCTCATATTCATAGCATTAATGTCGAATGCAGTAAGACAATGATGACAATCAATGTTGAATTTAATCGTGTTTTTGACGGCATTATTTATTCTAAGGTAAGCGCGGAACAAAATCTATTGCGTCAAAAATCATCAACAATAAATATCAATATCCAATTTCAGGGATATTATTCAAATCCGGAATGTATCTACGTAAAACAGAATTCTGGCTCAACGCGGTACTCTTTCACTGTAAATCTAGACTCTTGCGGCACTCAATTCATCAACGATTTCACAGGTCCTGCTGGTCAAGCGTATTTGGAAAACGTTCTCGTATTACAAGTTGGTATCGAATATCAAAAATAATAAAGATATAAGAAAAACACTTACATTATAATTTAGTGCTACTTATGTGCTAATTTGGTAGTTTTCTCTTGTATGACACAAATGTTTTGGAGTTGTTTTAGGCGTGAAGAGTAGCGCACCAAAATTTAAACTAGAGAGTATATTAAAAGCACATAATTAGCACTAAATTATAGCATGAGCGTTTTTTTATTATGTTATCGTTATTATTTTTAATGGGCATTCTGACTTTTTTAAAAGTTAACATAAAATTAATTTCTTGTTAAATAGTTGAGATAATAAGATCATGAATAGAGCAATAAATTAGCATATAAAGAGTGCTAAATCTTTTTTATATTTTACTTGAGCGTGCTTATATTCGCACGCTAGCTTAATAGACATGAATGCGAACCTGATCCGCTGAAACGATCGTCCAATGTTTCGAATTTTAAAAATATATAACTCAATAACATAGCCACATATTGATAAACGCCGCGACACGTATACTTTTTTTGGCCTCAGGGATCGACAAAAAAATTGTCATTGAAATTGAATTCGTTTCCCTCATTATCTTGTAAAAAATATCCCTTATAATTATGTCAAATATTAAAATAAAAAATTCTTATTGCTTAAGAATGAACCGAGTATACAAGAAGTCTGGGATACAGTTCGAAGAGTACGATGTCTCTGGGAAGGAAACATCAATCAAACTCTAAGGATGAATCTTTCAGTAGATATGTTAAACCAGGAGATCATTGCCTTTAATGGTGATACTGCGGTAACCAAACTGGGTATTCAAATTGGCAGAGGACCTTTTGCACCCATAGCTAATGGACTCATAAAAATTGGAGAAACAATGACTTTAGTAATCTCTGTGGAAGGCGATTCCGATTTCGATCTTCAGGTATTCGTCAGAAACAATCTTACATGTATAATAATAATTTGTGTACGTTTCAATATTATGAAAAAATAAATAGCGTTAATATAATTAATTTATATAACATCCAAAGAAGTTGCTAACAATTAACATATTTTATTTTTATTTGTAACGTAATATAATATTTTTATTTTCAGGGTTGGCCACGTTATCTCATAAAAATAACTCGTTATCATTCTTTTTCCTAAAAAGTAACTCGTTATCGTTACTCGTTATTGATTTGCAAAAGTAATTCGTTACCGTTCTTCAAAACGTAACAAGTCGTTACTTTTTCGTCACTTTTTTTCTTGACATTAATAGAATGTATAGTGTTTTTGTGCGCATTCAGTGCACATTAAAGCCATTGTACACAACTCTAAATGAGATATCTCAATTGTATGATGAAGTGCCTAAAGTATATTTTATCAAATAGCATAATAAAATGTATTGAGGATTTCGCAGTTTTTTTTTTTTAACTCGTTTCTATATTTTTATTAACCATACATCTTTACGTCGATTGTACAGCGAAGTGCACTGAATGCGCCCTAATTCTGCCAATGAAAAACGCCATTATATGCGTAATTAAATTCCTGCGGTAAATACAAAAAAGATGTCAGAATTCTATTTTTTAGTAGAAGAATAAAACTCAAAAATTGATAAATGTGTAGACGCTCTAGTTACGATTAAAACTTTTATGTAAATAGGAACAGAGTAACGATAAAAGTAACTAGTAAAATCGTTACCATTACCCCAAAAATGTAACTGCGTTACCATGAACGTTACTCAGAAGAAAATGTAACGTCGTTACCCAATCGTTACCAAAAAAAGTAATTTGTAACGGTAATGACATTACAACTATAACGCGTTACTTGCCAACACTCTGTATAATTGTATAATATTCTAGATTTCAAATAATATAAATTAAACAAACATTTATAATTATTTTTAAGGTGCGCGACTGTTCGGCGCGAGACGAAATGTCGACCAACATGCTGCAGCTCACCGACGAAAGAGGCTGCACTTTGAAACCGAAGCTGTTTGGTGCCTTTCAAAAGACAAAGGATACCGCCAATACAGGCGCTTCTGTTATCGCTTATGCATTCTTCCAAGCCTTCAAATTCCCCGACGTTTTGGGTGTATTCATCGAATGTAATGTGGAATTATGTAAAACTAACTGTGAACCTTGTCCGGAAGCAAATCAAGTAAGCTACAAAAGTTAATTAAAATAAGTATGATCCAAATATGATTACTTAGACAACGCAATCCTCCAATAACAACTTCAGAGGACATTCTACGTCCTAAAGACGTTCCTAGCATAATGGGATGGCCTATATATATATTTCGACCAATCAGGCGTGGCATTGCAAGCCGCAAATTTTATAAAACAGATTTGTAGAATTTGAAAAAATGGATAGTATATAAATATAAAAGTACTTATTCTTTCCAAAAAATGAACTTATTCAGAGAATTGTGTTGTGTAGATATATGCAATATTTGTTAAAACTACATATATTTAATCCGCTCAAATTAATATTTGCATGACAGACATTAATTGTTTACAATTCAACAAAAAAGTACATAAAATATTTTAAAATAAATTATTCTAAATATCTTCAAATTTCTTATTATACAATATAAATCATACTAGAAATTTTTGCATTTTTAATTTGATTGTTTAAAACTTATTTTAGCAAATCGAGCCAGGAAGACGTCGTCGATCGTTAATGAATGCACCATCTTCGAACAACTTGACGAATTCGGTACCATTATCGGATGCGGTTCGTGTTGGACGACGTTTCAAAGTAATCATGCTAGATGATTTAAACATAGCATCCAATCAAATCTTAGATAGTACTTAAGAAACAGCTGTTGAAACAATCGTAAAAGCGAAAGAAATATGCATGAATAATAATTGATTTTATACAATCTTGTCTCTTACATTGGGATGCTTTTTATCGCAATCCTAAGCACAGTTGTGCCATATATAAAATTACAACGAATTCGCAAATCAAAATTCATAGATTCTTAAGATGATATTACTTTTGTAATATTTTTATTGTAGTGAAAGGTCTCCAATATCATCTCATACTACTCTATTTTTAGGCAATATTACTTAAACAAAAGTAATTTGTCCAATTTGTATTTATGTTTCTAAAAATAAGAATTTAGAAACATAAATACAAATTAGAGTGTCTTCTCATATCATATAATATCGCAGTTTTTTATAGTACTAACAAAGTGCATATTTTGTGTTGTTCTGCAAGACGCAAACATGTAACATGATAGTCTTTTTTAGGATTCCCATAAATATACGACTGCCTTTAGTATCGATAAGACTATTTAACACTATAACGTAACACTGTAAAAATTAAGACCTCTATTCTGTAACTTTTAACAACTATAACGACATCCTTATATCGTCGTTGCGCTGCTTTTATACACGGTAAAAACTTTTTTGTGTAACTGTGTAATTCGAAATATAAAAGCAAATACTTTTCTTAATTAATTTGAAGATGCTGAATGATTGGAAAATTAATAATAAAAATCTCCATAGAACAAAATATATAGAAAATTAATGGCAGAAAGTAATCCTATACAAATACTTTTTTAGAAAGTATTTATGAGGCAGTATCTCGACTGCTATTGCAACTAATGAGTAAAATAATTTTGCAATAATCAATTATTATATGACGTGTCCGTATAATGTATTATACGCATCACTTTTAATATTTTTAATTATTTGGTTTTATTAAAAATTTAAAAAAAATAAACAATAAATCTTTATAATAATAATAAATGCGTTATATTACAAATGATTTATAATACATTAAATCCACATGTTTCTATAAATTTCAAGGATGTTTTTCGTTCATGTTTATCGTTCATTATAATATTACATATAGTGCATCAATGTATCAACAAGCTTATACGTAACAATAAGTAACAGGGATTTATAATACTATACATGGTAATGAGTCATTGTTTTGCGCGAAAGAAAACGAAAGGCCAAAAAACAATATCGAAGAAGACATTAAAAAACGAAAAACTGGTCGTTTGATAAGTTTTCATTTTTGTGTGATTGACTATCGAGGGTTGTTTTGTAATATGACCCGCAAAATTCGACCCATTATTCTTCCTGTTTGTCTTGTTATAATTAATAGCATTATAATTCGATAACAAATCTTCGGAACTCGCATCGATAAATTTACGATGTCTCATTGATTTCCTACATAGAAATTACACCATACAGAATTATGTAATTGTTTAAACATAATTTAAAAATCGAGTTTTCTGTATTTTTTTTAAAGAATGATCTTTTTCTACCATTTTCTTGTGCTTTCTATCTCGGGAGAGCTCCAAGATTCGGTCTCGGTATGTTGATCAGTACGAACAGTAGAAGCGTATTTATGATCATTGCATGATCGACATTCGCATTTTAGAGCCAAGCTTTTTAATAATGTGGCAGAACGTGGATCATCGCCAGCGCCTGTAATGATTGGTGATTCTTTTATCGGAGTCAACAGATCTCCCTCGAATTCTTCATCAGCATCCATCTCTGAACTTTTCTCGGGACACCAAAAATTTCTAAGCAAAAATTTCACTTATATTGTTGGCAACATTTTCCAACATAAAAACATGAAATTATGAATTATATATACATTCATTTTTTAAAAGATTCAACTTACGAATTTTCATTAATGATTGGCAAGACGTTTTTGGTTTTTTTATAGTCCAGTGCGTATAAAGTTTCCCTTTTCAAACTATTTTCCAATTTGTTAACGTTACATATACATTTAATATTTAATTATTTAATTATATTTTAAATTATACAAGCAAGCTGTTTTTATTATTTAATTATTACATATTAAATAGTAAAATGGTCAACAGAATAAAAATAAGTAGGAAAAATAAAATAAATAGAACAAAAATATAAAAAATGAATAATATTATTCCAAAAACTAATTGTTAATATTTATAACTAAGAAAATCTAATAATATTTCTTATTTACAAATGTAAAAGTAAGCATAAATTTAATAATTATTTATCAGTGCAGTTATCTTCTAAATAGAAATTATCTTTCTATTTTACTCACGTACTCGAATATCTTTTCTTCTTCATTGTCTACAGAAAATTCCGTGGAATATTTTAATTCATTTTTCAATGATAATTTTGCATTCTGTTAATTAAAATTAATTAAAGATATGCACTAAGAAAAATGTTTGAAAATAGACAAACCAGAAGATTCTGATTATATCAATCAGGAATACCAATTATCACAACTAGAATTTAATTGATTTAAAGAGAATATTCTAATTCGTCCGTTTTCAATTAGAATTCCAATTAATCCAACCAAACATTTTTCAGTGTTCTAAAATACATTAATGCTTTCTTCAGACAAATAAATATATAACTATACCGGATAAATATGAGATTCTCCATATATAGATAAAAAGGAATTCGGTTTTATCGGTGGTTTTATGCGTGGAATTTTGCTGATTTTATTTTGAGAGAGACCCGATCTTGTATTTTTATCAATTTTATTAGAATTTTCTTGAAATACGCTGGTAGCTGTGCTAGTAAGATTTTTGCCATTTTTTGCGATTCCTGACGTCTTTTGAACATCTCGAGAAAGCACCAAATTCTTTGGAATATTACACAGATTAATTATAATGTCAGTAAAAGTAGAGAGATTATGTGAAAACAAACTTGGTTAAGTGGCATTTGGCGATTCGGAGTAACTCCGTCATTATTTTCCTGTTTATAATTTTCAACGTTTCGAATAATTTTTGAGGAAGGTATCAATTCTTTTTTAATTTGAGTGTCGTCGCAAATTAACGGACGAGATTTTGTAACCTTTTTTGCTTGAATCTTCGATTTAAAAACAATTCCTTTTTTTTTAGTAGTTAAACCCGTTTTTCCACGAACATAAACATTTCTTTTCTTAGTCGGCGCTGAGAATTCATCACTTTGCTCCGACCAACTCTGGTTCAGTGTGTTATTATCAATATTTGAACATATGGGAATGTCAGGCTGATTAATAGCTGCCTCGTAATCATAGGCTATGACAGGGGATTTCGGTTCTGGTTTACTCTTCGTAACAATCGTTGAGCCGATTTCTTCTTTATTGACCACATTTTCGCAGTTATTGCGACGCAATGATGGATTCATCGTATCTCCAGCATGACTAATGCTACAACTATAAAATCAATCTTTATTATTAATTAATATTATTGTTATTATTATATATAATTTTTTTATTATACAGGGTGTTTCCAAATTAAATCGCAAAACTTCGGGAGCGTGTAGAGGAGTAAAAAACTAAGAAAAAAAGTCCTATAGACATATGCTCGT